GAAAGGATACAAGGGAAAACAAGAAGACTGGGGCCAGGGGTATGTGTTGGAAAGTAGTGGAGGCAAGATCAGTAGACAAGTCATGTTGTGAAAGGTACATCAAAATGAGATGTAAAAACAAATAATCCCTGGTCAAACAAAACAGCCGCATCCTGAAAGGAAAAGATACAACTATCATATGACATTTATGACCTGAGAATACTAAGCACCATGGGTTTTTTTTTTAATGGTTTACCTCTGTCTTAGAAAGACTTTTGACTTGAATCCTTGAATCTTATATGGTAATCTTATATGGAAGCTGCCTCCTTTTTACCTTGGTGATGTCATTTATTGCTCTTTCTTTCCTCTCCTTTTTTTATAGACTTTGATCCTGCCCTTGGAATGATGACCGGAATTCCACCAATTACTCCAATGATGCCTGGTTTGGGAATAGTACCTCCACCAATTCCCCCAGATATGCCTGTAGTAAAAGAGATCATACACTGCAAAAGCTGCACCCTCTTCCCTCCCAACCCAAGTACTGTTCTGCTTTATCCCACATATAAGTCACAGTGTTTTGGTGTATAAGAAGCTTTTTCTTTTTTAAAAGAATACCCAAGAGCTTCATGGACATAGAATAGAACTTTCACTTAGAAAACAGAGAAAATTTTTCTCTTACTAGGCAAGGCTGGATTTTATGCACAGAACAGTAGTTTTGTGTTCTGGTAGCAATACAAGTGATGTAACATGTTTCTAATGCTGTCTGGTAAGGAATTCAAGTGTGTTATACAGAAGGAGACATCTGACACAAATTGCTCAACACTATCATTTGTAGTCTTTTTTTTTTTCAGAACTGGCCCATATGCTAGTGATGGCACATGAGCTGAGCCTACCTGATGCATATGAGAATATGCACTTGGTGCTAAGAATCCTTCTCTACTACTCATCACTCCAACAACTTATTCAACCTGTATAGTGCAATATACAGCGAGGGGCATTCAACTCATTGGAAAGGCAAAGAGAAATTTTGAGACTAAGTCAAACTACTGGTAGCCATTCAGGAAATACAGTTCATGTGAAAATAATCTAGGAATTTGTCTTGTCAGTAAAGAATAAATCTCTCCTTAGACTTGCTTTAAAATACCAGTAAAGGTAGGATGGCCATGTTTCATTTAAAATATACCAGCAGTAATAATTAACTCAGACTTTTTCCAGATCCATTTGGACATTATAGATTTTAAATGAGTAGAAGCTACTCCTGCACATGACCCAAGCTTCACTTACACTTTCTCCATAGTCCTAGTGGTACTGGGTGGCATATCAAGTGAGCTGTTTCTATAGTTCAAAGATTATTGCTGTTTGTTAAGGTACCTTTCTAGGGGTTTAGACATAGATCAAATGAACTTGTTTTATCAGGATAGGTGCAGACCTTTTACATGTGTCTTCACACAAATATTTCATCTCCTACCTTTAATAGGAACTGGCTAATCATGAATTGGACCCTGGAAGGCACCTGGATTCTACTTATTATGATCTGCTCATAACTAAAAGGGTTTTAGAATCAGTCAGCATTGATTAGACAGGTCCTCTTGGCCACTTTGGCTAGTGAAAAATGTTAATTCATCATGGTTTTTGAGCTGTATTGTCAACAGGGTACATCCTTCCAGACCAATAAGAAACCAAGGAGGCCTGCATCTCAGAGGGCTGGATTGGAAGAAGAGTGTGCATGTCACAAAGAGAGTCAGGGAATAAAGAATAAGATGTCCTTTGTAGGCCTTATGTTCTTTGTAGGAATGGCTCAAATGGCCATTCCTGGATTTTTGTTTATTGTGCCAGGTAGATGAGTGATACTTCTATATCCATGTCTCTTACTCTTAGTTCAACTCTTCCTACAAATATGCAGTTACCTTTTTTCCCTTCCTTCTAGTATATTGCTTTTAGATTAGGAAAAGATATACATCCCTGACAGTTAGTACCTTTTTCATGTCAAAAACCATGAATTTTGGCATTGCCGGTGTCAAAACTTCCTCCTGATGATTTAATCCTTCACGTATTGAATAATCAACCCACACTAGGCTTTCGATGCCTCCATTAAGTATAAGCTAATAAGATGGTTCATAACTTATATTCCAGGTTGGGTGCATAGATGGCTCTAAGGATGTTCAGTTTGTAAATTTCCAAAGAATAATACAGATGTCTTGCTTATAACACACAGGCATCTTTGAATAGGCAATATTCGAATGTATATCAAAATATATGGCTTAAAGAGGCTGTAACTTCATAGTCACTAATAAAAGAAACATACAGAAATCTTTCAAATGCATTTTTTATCTTTCTCCACTTGTAGCCATGCCTTCTCAGTTCTGAGTTAGAAGGGCCACAGAGTAAGAGGGAAACATTGTGCCCTCACAGCTCAATTCTTCAGTTCTTCATCATTGTACTAGAATGCTGACAGGGCAATTAGTGCCAGTAAACATGTGACTTCTGGGAAGGAACTTGGCTTTGGAATTGAATTAAAAAATAACATTCTCAACAAAGCTTAAGGCATGCTAGTATCCTATTTGCTTTTTAGAACTGAATTTTGTTTAAAATGGTCTCAGATTAATTGGATGGGAAAAGCCCTAATTGTGGCATCTCCCTTACTTCTTTGCTGAAAGCACGGCAGAAGTGCCACTTTCATTAACAGCTCCAAAGCTTGTCTTTGTGAAGATGAGACAGGAATAGCAGGGCTCACTAACAAGGCCTAGTAAGGCCTTGATTATAAAACCCACTACTTACTCCTGCCTATCTCTGCCATATTCTCATGTATTCAATGGCCTCAGACTCCAAAGTTCCTCTCAGCAATAAGGTTCTCTGAATCAGAGACTTGCAGTCTCTTTATTCATCATCCAGTCTGCTTCTAAGCCTTGTTTATTTATCAGAAAGTGTCTTTGCCATCAGTTCCTTCTTCTCTGTTCAACCCTATATACAGAACCATAAAATTTTCCAGGGGCTCTCATTGCCCACGGATTCATAGTCCAACTCCTGACCTCAAAAAACTTTCACTGCTTTACTTCATGTGATTGTCCTCAATTCAACATTTCTATTTGTCACATAACTGCCCCTTCATTTGGGCTTAACTGCTTACTGACCTCACATTGCTTACATTCCCAGTTTAGCCCAACTCCAAATATACTCTCTCCTTGGAATACTTCTGTTGAATACTTTCTGTTTGAAAGGTACTAAAATTAAATCTGTGATGAATGCATTTTCGCTTAAATAGTGGACACTAAATCCAACAAATGCTTTTTAGTCCTTAAATTACTGTATCTCTCTATTATATTTAGTACTTTTGACCCCTTCATCCTTCTTGAAACATTAAGTCATTTGAAGGAATAGTAATAACTGAGACCACCCAGAGATATTATATAGATAAAGAAGAAAGAAGACCAAGTACCACATCCTGAGGAATCCCAACATTTCAAAGTTTAAGAGGGAAAGAGGAGTTTTCATTTCTGTACACTCCTTAGCAGTAAAAATCCTCCAAAGACTTACTCTAATCCAGTTTTCTCCTCATCTGTCTTAAATTTCCTTCTTTGATGCTTTTTGCTCCTATATCTCTATCAACATGTTCTTTGTTTAAGAATACTAATGACCTTACAATGCTAATTTCAGTGGACAAGTCCCTGTTCTATTCCTAACCAACTTAATGACAATCTGTGACACAGTTGATTACTCCTTACTCCTTGTAATACTTTCTTCACTTGTCTTCCAGAACACCACATGATTGGTTTTCTTCCCACCCCACTGGTTGCTCCTTTTCAGTCTCTTTTGTTGACAATCTGCTTCTCTGTCCTGACTTCTTATCATCGAAGTCACAGCTCAGTCCTTGCACTTCTTCTTTATCTACACGCATACCTTTGGTGATCTCATTCTATCTCATAACTTAAAAAATTATATGTCAATGATATGCATATTTAAATTTTTAACTCAGACTTAGCCTCTGAACCCCAGACTCATATCTAACTGCTTACTTGATATCTCCACTTATAAGTCAAATAGACATTTTAAACTTAAAAGTTTCAAA